AAGATATTCAATTAAAATAATGTAATTTTGCACGATAAAGGCTCAATTTGTAAGTATGAAATTTAATATTTAAATGTCATCTGCCTTACAGACAGGGACAGCTATAGATTAAATGAAATAGAAATAACATTTGAACCCTATGGTGGAAGAATTTAGAGGACAGTGAGATCCATATTGATAAACAAATCTTTCATTTGACATTAATGCATTTATTTACTTATGTATTTATTCATGCTTTTTTAAAAATATTTATTTATTGATATGACACTCAAAATCTTCCTTGGAAAATAAGTTTTTGAATAGTAATTTCATGAAATTCCTTGTGTGAAGTTAGGGGTCTAATAACCGGGGTCTAATAAGCGTGGGAGGCGGGCGCCCTAATAAGGACACTAAGGACCGCAGCCACTAACGCCAGTCGCTAGCGCACCTCTTGAAGCCAGGGGAGTGAGGTTTACATGCACAGCTCTTACTGGCCTACATCCGTTACACTCACCCCCCTAAACCTCACTCCATCCGGGTCACGGCACCAAATTTAACCGGTCCTACTCGACCCGCTCCGAGCGGGATTTGAACCAGGGTCTCCGGTTGGCGCGCTAACAAGGATGCTAAAGGCCCGGGTATACTTTATTGTCCACGTTCCACTCAACTGTGCAAGCCATATCAAATGAAACTACTTTGGGCATGAGCGCGGAAAGACACATTAGGCACGTGCGCACTATCTAGTGAGATTTACACGCACAGTTACACTCAACCCTCTAAACCTCACTCCCATCCAGGTCACGGCACCAAATGTAACCAGACTCCACCCGATCCGAGTGGGACTCGAACCGGCATCTCTGGCGTGGGAGGAAGGCACACTAATAAGTACACTAAAGACCGCAGCCGCTAGCACTCCTCTTGAGGCCAGGGGAGTGAGGTTTACACGCACAGCTCTTACTGGCCTACGTCCGTTACATATAGTATTATAAAGCTTATGAATTACAATACTTTCTCATCATACTCATCCATCTAACAGACATCTTGCATGGAAGGGACAGAACATTAAGGGAAACCACAGAGAAAAAAAAACTAAACTCTCACTCATATTTTACCCCTTAATCTCTATACCTCCACCAACAATTGTACCATTCCCAAGTGGCAATAAAACCCACCAGCATCACTCAGTGTAATCCCAACAGAGGGATCCATAACAGCACCGCACACCCTGATTTCAGTAAATGCACAACAGAGCTCTCTTTGGCATCGCCTGCTAGGTTGTATGAGGTCATTTAGTGCAAGTTGTGTAGACTAACCTCACTGACATGGCATGTTGCCTTTTTCATATCTTTTCCCCGCACACAAAAAAAGGCAATCCTTATCCTCCCTTTGACACTCTGCTTCCCTTGCTCTTTCTCTCTTTTGCTGACTTACTCATTCATCTTCTACCTTTTAAAGAGCGTGTCCTCTTCAGCTTCAGAGTTGGGCTAACTCTGGCAACTCCCGTGGCTGTGAAAAGATAGTGTTGTGTTGCTAGGCGACGTCTGAGATCAGTTAATCTGTGGATAGTGTGTACAGCATTTACCCTACCTGCCCGCTCTCTAGCTCACATCCTGGGGGGTGAACCATGAACTGCTGATGACCCCATGCACGAAACACGCAAAAAAACATGCTGTCAGATGCATGACAGCTACTGGCTGATTAGCTAGTTGGCTATATCAGCCAATATTTAATATTGTGCATCCTGCATATTTTCCTGTTTTTTTTTCTTCTTCTCATTTTGATTACTTTTTTCATCATAATTAAAGACAATAATTTAATAACACTGTTAAATCTTTACCAAATCTCTAAATGAATATTCATAATTCATATTGTACATTATAATGTTGTGATGCCTTAATTTATATTTTTTTATTTTTGGTTTTAGCATTTTATTTAAAATGTATTTAGACAAAATGGTATAGAATTTTAATAATGACTATTTGTCAGTTGCACTGAAAAAATAGAAACTTAAAAATGGCAACATAATAAGTCAATGCTTTTACGTTCCTTAGATAAAACTTTTAAAACTTTTAGATAAAAACTTTTGCAGTCCCCCCAGAAACTTTGCGTTCCCTCTGCGTTCGCTCACAAAACCTTTTGAGCTCTTTACGAGCGAAAGCACAGTTTCTTGTGGAAACGCAAAAGTTTTTGCGAGGGAATGCAAAGTTTCTCTGGGAAACGCAAAAGTTTTTGCGAGGGAAATGCAACATTTTTCTGGGAACGCAAAAGTTTTTGCGAGGGAATGCAAAGTTTATCTGGGGAACGCAAACGTTTTTGTGAGAGAATGCAACGTTTTTTGGGGCAGCGCAAAAGTTTTTGCGAGGAAATGAAAAAAGTTCCTCAGGAGAACACAAAAGCATTGACAAATAATTTCTTTGAGTGGGGTTCTGTATTATTCCCGCCTTTTTATTTTTCAAATCTGAATATCAAAGCCACCTCATTAGACCTACTGATTTTCTGGAACTCATCCAACTACACAGACTGTCAACACACTCTCAACAGGTACATTTCTTTCTCCAAATGTCTATAAATTTTAACTTTCAAATTGTAACTGGTTTCATACCAATCTTTTTCAATGTCTTTTTCTCTTTTTAGTTTAACAGAACATGTGTGACCAGCTCTGTTCAGTTAAGGATACTTAAGGATACTCTCCACTAAGTAAAAATGAAAGAATACAAGTTTAAACTGTCACTTTTTGAATTTTAATAATCCTATTTCACTCTATATCATGACTCTTGTCTTTCTGTCCATAAAATTAAGACAATTTTTTTTTTTTAAACGCCTTAGGGTGAAGGGTGCTCATTCCTTTTCCTGGATATACCTTCCTGCAGAGTTCAGTTCCAACCCTGATGCAACAAAATGTAGATATCCAGCTACAGGAATGAGCACCTCCTAAGGTATTTTGCATGTGCTGTTGTGGTCAGAAAATGTGGAAAACTTAATGGATTTTTGAAAAATAATCACTGTAAAATATATTCTGATGTTAGACTGCTTTTTCAAATTTATAACAAAAATGGGGAATCTCTCAGACTTTGAAATGTAACTTTTTTTCTTGTCATCTTAGGTGCTTCCTGGGCATCAACCCTAAATCCAACAAGAAGCAGGGTGGCATCAATCAGCAAGTTTGTTCTCCGCTGCAAAAACATGTGGATTTTGAATGGATGGCAACATAAGCAGATTTTGTGTTGTGTCTTTCTCGCATGAAACCTGTGTGTTGGGGCTCGAGTTGCTGTTTTATTTGTTCCTGTCCTGCCTTGCTCTGTTTTTTTCCCCATTTGCTCTGGTCATTGTTGGCTCTCTTCATTTTCACCTGCCATATTGCCACTGAATATGTTGGACTGCCCTTCTGGTTGAGACCTTCACTTCTACCTGGCTATTGTTTTGGATTTTCCCTCTGACTGTGTTTATTGGACTGATATCTCGTTGCCAACTCCTGCCCGCTCTTACACTTATATTCAATTGTATATTCCATTGTAAAAATAAAACAATTGAGGAAAGTATAATTTAATCTTTTTTTTACTACTTTTCTGTCATCAAATTGCATTACTGTATTTAATTGTAAGTTTACAGTTAATTGCTACTAATTGCATTACTTTTACAGCTGAAACAATAAATTACTGTACAAGTTACAGCTGATATCTGTATTTATACAGTTATGCACTGTGAAATTACAGTAATTATGTGATATCATTAAACACAACTGTCATTTTACTTAGTTAATTTTAATTAGTAGCCAGTATTTTACTGTAAAATCACAGCAGAATTTTTTACAGTCTATGAATATATTTCACTTGAACTTGGTCTTCATTACATCTATTTTCTGTTTCTGTTTTGTGTTTTACTTCTTTATGTATTTATTTATTCATGTTCAATGTCAGTTGTCATTGATGTATTCAGCTAAAGTGCAAGCAGTGGTTCTTGATGCTGCTCTCAATGTCATTCTGCTGTTTTGGTTGTGTTTGTGTTCGATGTTGCTTCTTGCTAATACCACCTAATCTAACTAAAGCCCTGTAATCCACTTAAAATGAGGTTATGAGGGTGCTGCTGGATCCGTGAGGATGCTTTTATGAGAATGAGTGGTCTTCATGTACTGCTGCGACCCGGCGTCTTACATTGAGGAAACAAAAACACTTTAAAAGGTGAATGCAAAACTCTTTGCAAAAAAACTCTCCATGCTTTTGATATAATTAATTCGATTGAAAGTCATATCTGCCATCTGGCCTTATACTCATATTAATTTTTTTATTTATACAGCTGCAATATGTGGTCGCTCCATATCTCCTGCTTTGGTTCAGAATGAACAAATCACCTCACATACTAACCAAGGTACTAACACACACACACACACAGTTCTTCAATACGTTTACAGTTCTTTAGTGTAAATCCTCATATTTGCTGAGATCAGAGTTAGCTGCTCTTTTGCTCAGTGAGCTCACCTCCCCTCCGCTGCATCCAGACAGCAAACACTGCATATCTTTTTATAACATAGAAATCATAACCTTAGGCCGGGAGTAATCTAACCTGCAAAAAGTTATTAAAATTCTATTTATATTGTCAGAAGCTTTATTTCCTCTTTGCCATTTGATGATGATGGGAGAACCCTTTTTAAGAACTGAGATATTGACCTAATAGTGTCAATCTTTAAATGTTTACATTTAAGACATCATCTATCTATCTATCTATCTATCTATCTATCTATCTATCTATCTATCTATCTATCTATCTATCTATCTATCTATCTATCTATCTATCTATCTATCTATCTATCTATCTATCTATCTATCTATCTATCTATCTATCTATCTATCTATCTATCTATCTCATGAAACTGTAACTTTCTTGTCACTCATTGATGCCTCTCAGCTCGTATCCACTGTGCGGGCTCGGACTCCTTGTATGGAGCGACACGAGTGATGATGATCGCGCGCAGATGGGTGGGGGGCGTGTGGAAACTGATCCGCCACGGCGCGCACGGTCTAAAACAGACTCTTTAACCTACTGGCAAACCGGAGAGACACGGAAACGCCCCACACCTGACTCCCCCTAACTGTCACCACACCTCTGGAGAAACATCTGAACTAATTCAACAGAGCAAAGGCAGAAGTAGCTGGAGGGACCAAAAGCATCTGTGATTTGTTTGTGGAAGTATAGCGCGCGCTCATGGCGGCAGCTCGGCTGCTTTAGGAGGGTTACTTCAGTGGATTTTAGTGGGAGAAACTAAATGATGTCAGACAGAATAATGGATACACTCAGATTGTCTGCTGCTCTTCTTCTACTTCTGTCTTTATTCAGCTGTGGAAGCGCTATACAGTTTCCCGACTCCCAACTGTAAGTAGGCTAACGTTACCGTTACACAAAACAAAACTTGCTAAACTGAGTCGTTGCAGTTGTTGATATCAACAATTATTGTTGGGTTTGAAAGCAAAAGACTTTGAAGTTTTTGTATTTAAGAGAGGTATAGAGACTGGTACTCTTCCAACCACAAGTTGCATTTAAAACAGTTAAAACGCGTTCACATGGGTCGCGTTCCGTCTGCGCTATTTTTATCACAGGAGTATTTTGTCGTGAGACTGATGTCTTTGCTCGATTCGTCGTGTTTCTACGGCGGTGTGCGAAGACAGTTTAAAGGGATAGTTCATCAAAAAAAAAAAAAGAATTCCGTATGTCCTATTTATTTAGGCTACTCACACTAATGTCGGTAGCCTATTTTATTTCTTCTGAAAAAAAGACATTTTGGAAAATGTCTTTACTATGCAATGACATTTAATGACTGAAGATGTCAAGCCTCAAATAACATAAAATTACCATAGAAGTAGCCTATCATAAAAGTGGTTCACACGACTCGATCACTACATTTCAAGGCGCATGACAGCAATGTTTGTGTTTGTGAATGAATGATTCATTTGAGTCGGATCTTTTCAATGAATCACGTTGATCCAATTCACAAAAATGTAGGCTATTTCTGACCAAATCGGTTCTCAAGTTCAACTTAGGCTACTGACTCCATACTCAGGAGGGGAACACTCGTTAAAAGTAGCTAAATGGATGAGATCATATTGTAGCTTAATATACCTTATGTAGCCACGCCCCTTTTCTGTCTTCCGGTTTGTATTTCCACAGCATGAAGGTAAGATCTTACAATTTATGAATGAACTGTTGTCTACTGACATTTTGTTATGACTTCCACTTTAAAGGTCCTGTTCTTCGCGATTCCATTTTTCAAACTTTAATTAGTGTGTAATGTTGCTGTTAGAGCATAATAATACCTGTAAAATTATAAAGCTCAAAGTTCAATGCCTAGCGAGATATTTTATTTAACAGAAGTCCGGCCCTTTCAAATCATACAGCGAACGGCGGTTTGGACTACATCCCTCTACATCCTTTTTTAATGACGTAACTAGAACAGTTTTTTGACTAATCTCCGCCCATGGGAATACACAAAAAAAAGGGGCGTGGTCTTGTTGCGCTCCCACGGAGAAGAAGCACTTCAGCTGCGCATGCATCTCCAATTTATGGTAAGAGGCGTGACCTTTCCGGGCAACGTGCGATAAGCTGCTGTCGAATCACAACACAGGAACCGCTGGCACAATCAGAACTCGTTACGTATTTCTGAAGGAGGGACTTCATAGAACAAGGAAGTCATCAGGCCGTTTTTTGGACAGTGAAAACAGCGGTATACAGATAAGTCAATTGTGTGAAAAATACTGTTTTTTTACACACGAAACATGAACACATGTTATATTGCACACTGTAAACACAATCAAAGCTTCAAAAAAACTTGAAGAACGGGACCTTTAAACATCACAATGCACATGACAACTTTCGTTAACTCTATAATAAGTAAATCCACTTCACCTGCTAAATACTCTTCGACAGCGATACAATAGAAATATACAGGGCTACCGAAAAAACGGAAGTTCAAAGACAAAATTCTAAAGATGGCTGTGCGCTTGTTTCTCTATGCATAAGGCCTACTAATTTTAAAAAGCTCAATGTAAATCCCTTAAAGGGATAGTGCACCCAAAAATTTAAATTCTGTCATTTCGTTCCAAAACGGTATGACTTTGTTTCTGCTGTGGAACATTAAATAAAGTAGGCCTATTTTGAGAAAATGTCTCAGTCCATATAATGGAAGTCAATGGTAAGTAACCTTCAAAATATCTTCTTTTTAAGTAAAAGTACTGCAGAAGTCATGTTTGGACAGACAGGGTGATTTAAAAAAAAAAAAAAATAGTGAACTGTCCCTTTAAATGTTTAATTTTAAATCATAAATGATAAAATTTAAGTGTAATTCTTTAACAAATCAAGTTACTGCTTTTTGTGTGTGTGTTGTAAAGCACGAACGCGCCACCTGTGTCCTCCTGTGAGTTATTTTTAGTTGACCAGAGCCTGTCAACTGTCCATATAGCCTAATTTAAAACTCAAACATGTGAAACCTGGGGGCTGTTCCATAAACCAAGATTAGAGTATAAGCCAGGCTTATTTCGGTTAGTCAGGCTTATTTTTGGTAGATTCGGTTTCATAAATCAAACTTAAAAAAGTTCAAACTCAGTTACCCTGGCAACTTATGCTGGGAAACTAGCCTGGTCCAGGGCAGGCTAACTGTCAGGCTAAGCCTCAGTTGTTACACAGATCCTCAACACTGACCGACAAGAACACAATGATATTACCACTGACAGTCTCTAATACCATTATTGGACTTTATAAATACACAGTATACAGAAAATCAACTTAAATAAGGCTACAATATAGACACATATATAAGGCGTTTTAAAGTTGTCCGTTTAGGACATGTCATTTTTGTAATAAAGACATTTTAATTAAGGAATGCCTCGGTTATCAGAGAATTCTTTTTTCTACACAATATAAGGCTACAATATAGACACATATATAAGGCGTTTTAAAGTTGTCCGTTTAGGACATGTCATTATATTAGCCAAATATTCAATATTAAATAAGTAGATAAATAAAATTACAAAAAATTGAAAGACATAATAAAGTACATAATATATATAAATATATATATATATATATATATATATATATTTATATATATTATGTACTTTATTATGTCTTTCAATTCAAACACATTTAACACAATTATACAAATGGACAGTTCCTTTAAAGACATTATTTTCCCCCAATAAATATTCCTTATTTTTCCTTCTACTTTTTTTTCTTTTGTGATAATACCAACACATACATATAAATAAAACAATAAATAAATATTAATAAAAATATAACATTCACATATATCAAACTCTTATAATGAATGACACATAATTCCTAATAGTTATTCAAGTAATATTATTTAAATATCAAATATTCAATATTAAATAAGTAGATAAATAAAATTACAAATAACTAGAAATAAAAGGGAAGGTTACATAAAAATGTAGTAAATGTAGGCCAATATATATTCCTTTATTTTATGGAATATTCTTTGATTTTAGAGTTGCACATATCTTTTCAAAATGTATACATTTGTTCTTAATTTAATGTTATCCTCTCCATAATGTACTTTAGAAACTAAATCTAACCACTCATTTAAAACTGGGGATTCTTGCTTTCTCAAAAAAAAAATCATTGCATTAAAAGCTGTAATTCTCAGCATTCTAAATAAGTATAGGCCTATATCTTTATTAGCATAGGTCCTATACCCAAAACTATATTTTGTATCTTTATATATTTAGTTTCTTAAAAAAAATCTTCCCTGAATTAGGCTACTTCTGTTCAATTTTTTTTATTTAGCCCTATTAGAAGTATAAAATGAGTGTAATGAGCTAGAAGTTCACTGCAACTTATCCAACATCCTAAAGAGAAATTATTATAATTAGAAGATATTTCTAGTGTTCTAAAATATCGCATTTTAATTTTCCAAGCAAAATGTATATTTTTTAATCAGAATTATTGCGCTCCTATTTGGCGCGCATGCGCGCAGCAGCGCTCGTTCAATATGAAGATTAGCAGCAAAATGGATACATTTGCACGACTTTCTAACATTTACAGATGGAGAATATAACTGTAAAATGTAATTTTTGCACTGAGGGGAAAAAAAAAAAACATGTCACAAATGCATAAAACAGCACAAAAACTACGCTGTTTGATGATGGATCGATTTGATCCACGATCGACCTCTAGGGCTGCTTCAGAAACGCGTGCACACGCAATTATCTAGACTAGATAAACCTGGATCAAATTAGTGAGATTGTGTGAACTTCAATTACCTTTTATGGAACCACTTTAGCCCCAACTTATTTGTTAGGCTCATTCAAGTCCGGTGTTGGAGTTTAATCCCCGCTTTTCTAAGCTTCATTTATGGAACAGCCCCCTGGCCTTTTTATCGTAATATTATGTAATGAAACTTACCTCAGATGCTGACAGTAGCAGCCTACTATCCGCTCTCTTGCAAGTGCATGAGAGCTGCTCAAAGATCATGTTCTCCATCGAGTAAATATAGTCTCATTTGCTGGCCTTAAACTACAGTTGTCAGGTGTGGTGTGTTTCACAACATCTTCAAACTGATATATATCCCTCTCTATGACAGATTGGACACAAGAACAGCTCAAGGCATAGAAGCAATCTTCTGTCAAATGCAACCAATCTGATTCCACTCTTTGCTTGAGATTGTTTCGGGTTTAGACAGAATTTGGTAATATGTAAATCAGAGTCTGATGTCCTCAGGCCTGTGTCTGATCTGCGTTGTGAACTTGTACCTGATCTAACAAGTTAAAGTTGACATGAGCTTCAAAAATTAGTCAATTTACGTTCTTTATGCATGTTCTAGTCTTATTAGGAATGGTTTGTTATTCTAAATTATAAAAAAAAAAAAATCGAATAACTTTTGCTTGTAAAATCACTTTCAGCTTACATCATGAATTATGGTTCATTCTTATATTAAACATCCATTTTCCCATCAACAAATCTAGACCCAATGAATAAACTGACATCCTGCCTCACATATACTAGGGATGCACCGATTTGAAAAAATGTGTCCGATAACCGATAATTCTATATTTGAAAGCCGATAACCGATATATTGGCCGATAATCTAAATCCAAATTTATTTATTTTTTGGGAGCCTGATTACAAAACAAAAGTCTCATAATTAAATCCATGTCCCAAACACACAATTATAATGATCTTCTCATTATAATTTTATGTAGCCTATATGACTTGCGCTGCATGTTGCACTTAACTGTATTTCGTTTTTTGAAGTGATTCCAATCATATTTCAAGCAATTCAAAACCATCATGGCCAACAGTGCACATCTGAAGTGTCTCAGCTGAAGGAAATAATCCATTATTTACCGGATTTAATATATTGG